CTCCCGTTGACATACCAGTGTTCCCAACAGGGATGAACAAGATTTAGCTTTCAATTACACATAATTAATTCCCTGTTGGGAAAGATAAAGCCTATAGTAGTTAGGGCTGCACAATAAATCAAAACGGTATCCAAATTGCAATATGGCCACGTGCATATGAGGCAAATCGCAGAATAAATATGCAAATCGCAAGAGCTGCAGTGTGTTAATAAAAGTAAAATGTGTGACAAAATAGTATTATAGTGAAGTGAGATGCTCTGGCCTACAAATCTGGTCTTCCAGATTAAAAAAAAAAATGTTTGTTTCGTGCAAACCCCCAAACAGATGATTTTTGATCATTTTACCAAATTTTTTTTTCTGTGTGAAAATTACGTTTGTGATGAATAAATTATAATTCCCACAGTAAATGTGAATCAAATCGCAATATCTGTCAAAACAATCGCAATATGATGTTTTTTCCATGCCGTGCGGTCCTAATAGTAGTAGCGACATACGTGTGAGTAATTTGACTGTTGCTTTCCGCCCCACTCTTGCAGTCATGTTTTAAATAAGAATATACTGTTAACCAGGTGCAGAGATTGATTGGATGTCTTTAGCCTTCTCATTACTTCAGTCAGGACTGTCTGACAGCTGTGTGCTTTATTTTGGTAAGGCTGCAATTATGCACACATCTGCATCTGCCATTGCCTGTTTGTACACTGTTTATACTCGTCCATGCCGGTAGCTACTGTTTCACAAAAAAACACATCTGACCTACGTTCAGTTAGAATGTCTGTGAAGTGAGTGAGTTGTCTTTTTTTCTTTTCTTTTTTAAAGTGCACTTAAGTTAAGGGAATCACTGCAGATATCCACAAGCCCGTGTGTGAGGACCTCCAGAGCGTGTTGGAACATGCAGGAGAGAGGCCTTAGTACGCTATTACATGGTGTACAGTTTTCTGCTGACTTGCCACTTTCTCTGCAAAAACTTTCATACTACTTGCAAGTCTGAACTAGTGTACTTACCAATTCTGCTTGTTCCTCTTCAGTTCTGTTTTTTTGTGCTTTTACAGCAGCATTAAATCAATTCTTTGATGTTCCTCATTTTCAAACGCAGTCTTACTTTCATAATAGTTTGTTTAAATAGTGGAAAAAGTGCAGACTGAAAAAGAGGATGTGTTACATGATGAGAGAAGCCTTGTCTTTTAAAGCAGGGCATCATAAAACTTGTTTTCATCCACTGCAATAACCTAGTTATTCTGAAACTAGTGTTTACACACATTAAGAGTTCTCCCCTACCCCTTACTTTACATATTTTGTGTGATTTAGTGTATCGTGCCGTGGGTCTTGGCACATTAGTGAATTAGATTGTATTTTTTGGGGGAACTCTGATTGACACTGCAGTGGAAACTGTGCTGGTCCTGGCATCACTCATTTGTATATGCATCCTATTTTGCAGGCTCATGAAAGACTCTTGGGAGCACCACCGTCTGGCTCTGGAGCTGCAGCTTTTTGTTTTCACTCCTACTTGTCAGAGGACATAAAAAGAGAACTTTTAAAACTTCCCCCACACTGAGCCGCTGGGTGCTTTTTGCCTTTTGAATTTCACTGCCTGCGTATTTATTGGGCCTTAGTTGACAATGACCAACGTCCCGCCTCTTCCTGTACCATTATCTCTGCATGTGTGAATGTACCAAAAGTCCCCGGAGACATGGGATGCCTCTCAATTGTCGCTTTTCTCTCTTTATCTCCCATCCCTTTCATCCGCAGTTGTCGAGATGAGCTGGAGTAAACCTCATCATAGTCCCATGAAAAGAGTGTGTGCGTGTGAATGCTTTCATGTATCTAGTGTGATCAAACTACAGATGAAAGGGATGAGATGTTAGAGAATGGGAGACGCTGCTGAAGTTTGCCGTAGGTTGCCAAATAGTTTTCCCGCCCCTCCCCCTCCCGTCTATGATACTTCACTGAGAATCCCTGCCTCCTGTAATTGACGTGCTTTTGAAGTATAGTAGCAGGCTAGTCACACTCGCATTTCCCTTCTGAGCCCACATGGCCTACCCTTTGGCAAAGAAGCCTTGTCTGAATTTGTGATTATGTGGGATCAATGGGGGGGGGGGGCTCTTGGGATCGAAGATTTCACATCACAGGACTTCAAAGTTATGATTGTAACTTTGTTTCCATATTATAACTGGATATATGCAAGATTTAGTATGTCTGTTGCCCTCTGCACCGTTGATTTTACTGCCTAATTGTTGTTGTAAGAGACGAGGAGAAAACCTCCACACAATGCTGAGAATGGTTGTCAGTTAAACAGTGGTGGAAATTTTAGAGTATACCAATTTTATGTTAGTTTATACTTACATTCCACTAAATTTTACCGCACTACATTTCCATGCACAAAATATAGTGACTAATACATTTACAGATTAAAATTTTATGTTAAAAACAAAACACATGATGCAAATATGTAGAATTGTGCAGCCATGGTGGAGATACCCTCTTTCTGAGCACTTACTTCTATTCATATGTGGACGGCATGAGCATGTTAGGCTTTAATAACTAACTAGGTCATTTTAATGAGACTGCGTCCTGCTGTGATCATCTTAAACTATATATAGTGCTACGCTAACACGAATATGATGAAGGGGCTATTTTATCTCTTCAGCCTCAGTGCACGGTGACTTTTCTCAACACACTAAAGTCAGCGTAACATTGAATGTCTCTCCTCCTCTCCTCTATGTAAGTCATCTAATCTCACTTACACAGTGAATGAAACACTTTAAATATTATGATACAGGCACCGGTTTGTGTCGCACATGCTTGCAGAGTGTTTGGTGATTTAAGTAAACAATGTCTTTCGAAGATGGCGATGGTGGTATTTCCTCCTGTAAAATACGGTAACCTCATATAGTGTCATATTAGCTCACTGATTCACTTCACCACGTCTGGGTTGAGCGGCTGATGGTTGGACGTCACTGTATATGTTGACCCTGCCACGACTCTCTGCCTCAACAAATATTTGAGCAGTTAGTGATATTTACATAATAATGTCTGTCAGTGAAGGAGCTCTAAATACACAACTTGTACGTTGTTTATGTTGACAGAGGCATCAGTATTAAATTAAGGTTTCATAACCTTGTTCAAAACTCCTTGTAGTAATTTTAAGGAATGGACATTTCTTTATGTCACAGTTGTATGCATTTTCAAGTTGTTTAGCAGTTTTTTTCCCTCTGTAGCTCAGCTGTGGGTTTGTGGAACTCGAAGGCTGTTGATGGATTTAGCAGTCCTCAGCTTGGCTCTGTCCGCTCTCTGGCTGTGGTTGTTCTTTTCTAGTCGAGCTTCATCTTGCTGCTGGCCTTACCCTCTCTCTGGTGTGGGTTTTCTCATTGCTATGGTGATGCGTTGGTCCACTGCTAACAACATTGTCACCACACTTGAAAAGTGAGTGTGCTGCCACCAGCTACAAATGAATAAATAAATAAATAAACACTGTAAATAGTAAAATCATGATTTGTGCAGTGCATTGTGCTTCTCGGTGGTACTGTAGCATGTACAGCCTTTGGAAAACCATGGCACAATACTGCTGAGAGTGGAGATCGGGTTTCGTGTCATGTTTCAGTGTATAGGCTCAATTTCAGCAGTTTCCCTGACAGCATTT